CAACGTATCATCGAGGTTTTTGAAATGTCAGAAGAAGAGTTAGGCCTCGCATTCAAGGGACCATCTATAGTAACTAGGGATGCAGTCTTCATGGAATATGTCATCTCTTTTATAGAGAGGAATGCAGCAAAAGATATTGAGACTGCATTGCTTTTGTCCATGACTGTTGCTCGCTGCTTACCAATTTCACATCTGCATCAAGAACAATGTAACCATCAGTCACTAATTTGTGGCTTTTGAAGAAATTTTTTGTAGACAGATTATACTGCTGTAGATTGATACTAATTGATTAACAGATTTTAGTTCAAAGAGAAAAATCCTAAGCTTTCTTCATTAATTCTTTGCTTTTATTTATTATCATAAGAGAAATTATGGCCATAAGCATCTAAGAAAGACATTTCATGAAAAATAACTTCAAAACTTTTACCTACTAAAGTTCTTCTCTTTGATATAATCATCATGGTAAATATAATTTACATATTAAAATTTTAAAAGAATTGAATGGTAAATGCAGTATCAATTAGTAGTATTATAAAAGAGAATTCAGCATCATAAGGGCGTTTTAAGGAAATTATTGCCAATGGAAACAAAGTACGAAGATGAAGTATGCGAAGGAGATGCCCCGGAAGGAAGGAATTAGGATCAGCGAGAACACAGGAGTGTTTAGGATTTCCATAACCTTTTGAGAGAACGAAGTGCAATGGCTACTGGGGGCATTCAAGGACTTTTTCTGGTCTAAATGAAAGAAGGGATGGGGTCGGACATGAGAGTGGAGAGGCAAAATTATCTGAATGTAGACTGGCTTGACTACTGGTTTGTAAGTTTTATCTGTTGGGGATGTAAGTGTTATACCAACGATTTAATTATTTGTGTAATGTATTGTACACATTATTATTTGACAATTTATTTTAATATTGGCAATAGTATTTTATTATTATATTTATTATCTTATCGTTTAATTTTTATAATAAAATATTTAATTAAATTTGTAGGTTTTACATTAAGATGAGAAATTTGATAATGAGAGTGAAATCTTTTACGATTTAATTTAAAATATTCTTAATCGTTAAACTATCAAAATAGGACATTAATAATCCGGTAAGATTAACATATATGTGATAATCTCTATAAAATAAAGATTAGTTGATCTCATTAATTAAATCACATATATAGATGATGCATATGTAAATATGATTATTGAACCGACTCAATTGAAAATTTTTAATAATTAATATTATTTTAAACTGTTAATATAGTATTTTTTTATTTTGATAAAACGTAAAAAAATTTTTAAATATAAGATTATCATAGTAATTGACAAATTATTTATTATATTTTGATTCTAAACAATTATGATCATAGAACTATAGTTAAAAGAATATTGAGTATAATTAAATATTTATAAAATTAATAATTGATCAAGATGTAATATGTAAATTAGACACATTGGTGAATTTTTCAATTGAACCGTTTGCAAGAAAATTTTAACATATATATTATTTATTTTTTATGTACATTTTTTTGTTAATTAAAGAGTTAAACAATAAATATTAGTTTTTGTATGAATATGCATAAAGTATTTATGTTTTCGAATAATTTTAATTTAAAAATTTACTAAAAGATATATTTTAGATTTAATATATAATATGTAATATAATTTTTAAATATAAATAAATTAAATTAAATTATTTTTATTTTTGACTGTTGTTATGCATATATTACAATCTTACATCGGTATCAGATGCATGAATTTTTTTATTTAAATTATATTACTAAATTTTAATTTTTGATATTAAATCTTATGAAGAGTTTAAATACGTGATTTATTATTTGATTGTTTTTTCTTATGTTTATTTTTTTCCATTCATATGATGAATTAAAAAAAAAAGGTTTAAATTTGAACTAATGTAACAGATGAAAAATTAAGGTAGCTGCAATATGTATACATATATATATACATTTTTTTTTTCAGTTGCTGGAAAAATTAAGGTAGTTACAATATATATATATATATGAGATATATATATACATAAGTTTTTTTGGGTTGCTGTAAGAAATTAGGCAGTTGTACTCCCGCACCAAATATATATATGTATATGATATGTATATATATATATATAATGAAAAAAAAAGGAAAAGAGAACGGAAAAATTGGGCAGCATGTGTACCCACTGCACCACTATATATATATATGATATATATATATATATATATAATGTGTTCAAAAATAATAAT